CCGGGCTCCCCCGATCCAGCCACTGGTCAGTTTTAGCAGCGGCTGAATAGGGGAAGCTGGAAGCAGAGCAGCTCCAATGGTCCAGCTGCGGAACACTTCCGGGTTCCTGATGGTGCCGGACCATCAGGAGTGCCGGACCGTCAGATGCCGGACCAATGGAGTTTTACTGTATATATTACATTACAAAGGTGCATTAGATCTAGAGAGATCTTCAGCACAGATTAATAGAGTAACAAAACCTCAATCAAAGCCGAAGCTGGAAGCAGAGCAGCTCCAATGGTCCAGCTGCGGAACACTTCCGGGTTCCTGATGGTGCCGGACCATCAGGAGTGCCGGACCGTCAGATGCCGGACCAATGGAGTTTTACTGTATATATTACATTACAAAGGTGCATTAGATCTAGAGAGATCTTCAGCACAGATTAATAGAGTAACAAAACCTCAATCAAAGCCTGATTTAATGACCACCTGAAGACTCCCACTAAATTCAAGGCTACTTGAATCCTAGGCTATCCATGAAGGTGATAACTGGATATATTATCCTAGATACCAGCACTGGACGATCAAAAGAACAAATGATAAAAAATTATCATTTGGTCACTAGCCAGTGAAATAAACAACAACGAGAGATGAATGTAGCCCTAGAAGGGCAGGAGCAATGCTTGCTAATCTTACCTGGACTCCCTGCATGTTTTGAGGAAAGTCTATGCTGCCCCTTAAATTGTCATTTTTGTTGTCTGCAGTTCAGATGTTCTGACAATCAGCAGTGAAAGGAACTTAACATTTCTTACAGGTGCTGACCTATTGCAATCCAGGTCCCTGCCAGCTCTTTAAATAGCTCCCTCCTGGCTTTTGCCGCAGCTCAGCCAGCTCTTGCCGGAACTGTGCACCTGGGCGCACCCGCTTACTTTCACTTCTGCTGATAAATAAATAGAAGTGCATCTTTTATTGTTTACTAGATGGAGCTCAAGGACTGCTACTACTTATGGGTACAGGAAGGTGTTTCTTGTTTTTCTGAGGCAATAACATCAATAAAGCTTGGCACTGTTGCTTAATTAGTTTATTGGGACAGATGTTATTCTCCCAAGTCATTATGCACCACTTGAAGTTACTGGAGATGTAAAAAAAGGCAGAAAACCACCTTGATGTTTTCATTTTGACAGGGCACTGAGTCAGGCTTTTACATTCGATATATTTCAATGTGAAAGTTGGCAAGCTGAGAATTCCAAGCCAGTGAAAAGGCATGGAAACCTCGCGCTAAAGATTAGGTCTACTCCACGTCACTGAACTGCAACATACAGTTCTAGCAGTGTATGAACTGTAGACACAGCTTGCATCTCCCACTGAAACTGTCTCTTAGTGGGCTGGTGATCATGTAATTCACATGATCAGTCTGTTGCTAAGGCTTAGGATGGAGTAAGTGTGCTCAGCAAATTACACTTAGACATGCTGTTACTGCGTTAAAGTCATATACTCTCAGAAAAAGTGAAACGAACCAAAGATCTGAAACCAGTCACCATTACAAAGGGCGTAGGAAGCCTCATGGTATATAGTTATACAGAGTCTTAAAGAATAAGCCTTGAGTTCAATGTTTAAATTGTTGGCAAACATCAGACCACATTCTAGAAAAGTTTTCACTTTTTTATATATCTGCTTCTTACAAACCCCAACTAGCTGCCTCTCCTTATCTCTTTGAAAAAATCTTTCCACTCCCTTAACCTAGGGACCTCCATTTCTTGTGAGACGTTCCCTTTAGAAATTCAAACTCATTAGAGTGTCCAAGAAACCACCAAACCTTCAAAAAAAACTGCAGCCTTCCTTTGCTTCCAGTCCTGTCAACTGGACTTGCAGAATCCAGGTTGCAAAACCTCTGAACTAAATCCCACAATGGCTATCGACACCTAGAACTGACCAAAATAATCATGAATATATCTATGCTCTCTCCCAACACAATTTCAGTCTATTCACACTATGGCTCATGCATGAAATATACCAGAAGAACTGTATAGTCTTATTTGACATTCAATCTCTCTCCTTTTACATTGTGTATTGTGTACACACCCACACTCTCATGTGACTAAAACACACAATATAAACATTAATGTTACATCTGAACATGATAAAATTTGTTTTCCTTTTATTAAAAAAAAGTACTAGAAAGTCACATACAAAACCAAATTGTTATTAAGGTTATAAATTCAAACACACAGCAATCACGAAATGCCAATACAGTAAACTTCTGATAATCCGGCACCTTTAGGACCCAGGGGGTGCTGGATTATTAAATATGCCGGACTATCAGAAGAGGGGGCTATGAGGGGTCTGCGGGAGGCAGGGGGAGATGCCTCTGGGATAGGGTGGAGGGATGCCACCCTAGATCCCTCTTAGCCCCCCCTCCTTCTGATAGTTGGGCTCTGTCCCAGGCATCCCCGATTCAGCCGCTGATGGTCAGTTTCAGCAGTGGCTGTACCAGGGATGCCTGCGGCAGAGCAGCTCGGGTGCTGCCGGGTTGGTCCGGTAGCGCTGCCCCTCAGCGCTGTGAGACCAACCCGTCAAAATGTTATACCAAATAAAAGCAAGCAGGATCTTATGAGGGGGATAAGGTAAAAAGCCACATTTATTGTAAAGATAATAATAAAAAAATAAAGAAAAGATAGAAGCAAACAACGTTGTTTAACTACTTAACCCTTAACATGGGAAGTAAAGTATGTATCCTGCAGTGAATGTAAATATCCTTCTGATTTTTGTGCTTGCTATGAGAGGGCTATTCAAGACAGAGGACCTTAGCAACATGAAAGACACACTCTGCTTCCTCTCATGGAAATGTTATACTTACATGTTCTTTGTTAATTCCCCTAAAATAACAGGAGTCTAAACTAAAAGTATATGTTTGCTCTATGTGTATGAAAAATACAGGACATTTCAGATGTGACTTATCTTCATGATTAAGCCATTGCATTTGGAGGTTTGGTTTTGTTTTGTTTCTGGAAAGAAAGCTTCTTAGAATCCATCACATTGTACTTACTGTGAATTTTTCCAATCCTGTTGCACCTGCATTTCCAACAAATATGCCAGAGCTGGATTCAAACTGCAAGGCCTTAGCTGACCTCCGAAACTGAACTCTGTTATATTCTTCACAGTCCATGAACAGAACAATGTCATTTCCCTGAACAGTCACTGTAAAGCGATTCCATTTGTTAGTCATCACTGGAACTTTAAATGAAGCGGCCTCTCGGGAGATAGAAGAGCGAGGCTCGGTGTAGTAAATGATTATTCTCTGGGTGCTATCATCAACTGGTGAGAGTCTCATTCCCAAGTATATAGTTTTCTGAAAGGCATCTGTTATTGCAAATAATACACCTCCATCATCACTGTTGGGTTTTACTGTAACTACAATAGCAAAGTCCCTATAGAAGGTCTGCGGTATTAAAGTCTTTGTTAAACGGCCGATGTTAGCATTTGGTCCAAAACTGTAGGCTGGAAACCCTCCATAACCAGTGATAAAGGAGACAGAAGGAGGAAGTGGAACTCCGATCAGCTCTGTCAGATCAAGATGCCCCTTTGATCTTCGCTCTGTAACATGAGACAGAAATGTTATTTACTCCTATGTCTACATTTTGTTTAACATTATATAGCTTAGTGAAATTACAATATGACTGATGTGCTAATATTCAAACCTTTCCCTTTAAGCACATGAAAAATGTCAATTAACTAATAGTCCTACTCACATGTTTAAAGTTAGGCATCTGTATGCCTAGTTAGGCATTTGAAGTGTCATTAGAGGAGGTTTTGGAACAAATAGAAAAACTTAATGTTAACAAATCTCCGGGACCGGATGGCATTCATCCAAGGGTTCTAAAAGAACTCAAATGGGAAATTGCTGAACTATTATCTGTGGTTTGTAACCTATCCTTTAAATCGACTTCCGTACCTAATGACTGGAAGGTAGCCAACGTGACACCTATATTTAAAAAGGGCTCTAGAGGAGATCCTGGCAATTACAGACCGGTAAGTCTAACTTCAGTACCGGGCAAATTAGTCGAAACAATAGTAAAGAATAAAATTGTGAAGCATGTAGAAGAGCATAATTTGTTGGACAAAAGTCAACATGGTTTCTGTAAAGGGAAATCCTGTTTTACTAATCTGTTAGAGTTCTTTGAAGGGGTTAACAAACATGCGGACAAGGGGGATCCAGTAGATATAGTGTATTTGGATTTTCAGAAAGCCTTTGACAAGGTCCCTCACCAAAGGCTCTTGTGTAAATTACATGGCCATGGGATAAGAGGGAAGGTCCTTTCTTGGATTGAGAACTGGTTAAAAGACAGGAAACAAAGGGTAGGAATAAATAGTAAATTTTCAGAGTGGAGAGGGGTAACTAGTGGTGTACCCCAAGGGTCAGTCCTGGGACCAATCCTTTTCAACTTATTCATAAATGATCTGGAGAAAGGGGTAAGCAGTGAGGTAGTAAAGTTTGCAGATGATACCAAACTGTTTAGGATAGTCAAGACAGAAGCAGACTGTGAGGGACTCCAAGAAGATCTCACCAAACTGAGTGATTGGGCAACAAAATGGCAAATGAAATTTAATGTGGATAAGTGAAGAGCAGATTTTACAACCTAATCTGTTAGTATAAAATGAAGGTCTGTTTAAAGACAATAGGGATGTGTTATGTACAAGGCCATATGCTTTTAAGCAGCCACTAGGCAATAGATAAACCTGAGTTCTTAGGGAAAGGGTTGGACTCTGGTGGCAGGCATAGTAAGGGACAGGCCAAGCCATGAGCTTTCAAGTGACCTTGGAAAGGGTTCAGAAAAGGGCCACTAAAATGATTAGGGGTTTGGAATGGGTCCCATATGAGGAGAGGTTAAAGCGACTGAGACTTTTCAGTTTAGAAAAGAGGAGGCTGAGGGGGGATATGATAGAGGTATATAAAATCATGAGTGGTGTGGAGAGGGCCAATAAAGAAAAGTTATTTATTAGTTCCCTAAATAGAAGAACTAGAGGACACCAAATGAAATTAATGGGGAGCAGGTTTAAAACTAATAAAAGAAAGTTCTTCTTCATACAGCGTGTAGTCAACCTGTGGAACTCCTTGCCAGAGGAGGCTGTGAAGGCTAGGACTATAATAGAATTTAAAGAGAAGCTAGATAATTTCATGGAGGTTAGGTCCATAAAAGGCTATTAGCCAGGGGATAAAATGGTGTCCTTGGCCTCTGTTTGTCAGAGGCTGGAGAGGGATGGCAGGAGACAAATTGCTTGATCATTGTCTTCGGTCCACCCTCTCTGGGGCACCTGGTGCTGGCCACTGTCGGCAGACAGGATACTGGGCTAGATGGACCTTTGGTCTGACCTAGTACTGCCGTTCTTATGTTCTTATGTATGATTGAGCTGGGAGACCAGTTATTCTGCTAGGAACTCCCACAAAAATGCTTTCCATTAGCCTTCTATAAGCCATGTACTTGCAGAGAGGAGATGACAGAATGGAGAATTAATTCCTTGTGTTTTCAAATAAACAAAGATACTGCAACATAAACATAATGAAGGGAGGAACCAACAACTTTGCACAAACAGTGAAGTGGAGTTTTATAAATGCAGGGTAAGGCTACAGGTTGAACTAGGAGAATTTTTTTGTATGAAACTTTTTCGTAGTGAAAAATGCAGAGTTGGCAACACCAAAATCTTTTGTGAATTCATGTCAATTTTACCAAATTGTTCTGGATGAAAAGAAACTTGGGAAAAACCCCAAGTTGTTTTAATTTGACACTTTTTAAAAATGAAATATTTCAATTTTTCTGTCCGTAATCACATTTTCTTTCAAAACTTTTTTATTTCTTTTTAAAATAAAAAACATTTTAAAAAATGTTACCAAACAAAGCCAAAATATCTAGCTTTGAGTCAACCAAAATGTTTCATTCAACCTGAATTGAAATAGCTTTTTACTCAATTCACTAACATTTTTGAAAAATGTTATTTCCAGTTTAATTCTAAAAATATTTTTTTCAGACTAGCAGGAAAAAGTTGCTATTTGCACAGCTCTAATCATGTGTAAGATACCTAGGAAATTTTGCTTTAAACTGGGATTGCCAGGTGTCTAGTTTTTGACCAGAATGCTTGATCAAAAAGGAATCCTGGTGGGTCCAATCAGCACTGCTGACCAAGTTGTATGATTGGTGGGATCTGGCCTGGTTTTGTGCAGCTGCTGCAAGGAATGGCATGTCTCTCCTCCAGTTCCCACACATAGAAGCAGCCGGAGGTTCTGTGTGCTGTCTTTGCCCTGAATATTGGCTGTGCAGCTCCCATTGGCCAGGAAGCACAGCCAGCTGGAGATGTGGGGACAATAACTACAGACAAGTCGGCGTGTAGAACCATCTGGCCACACCTCCTCCTAGGAGCCAGAGGGAAGGCATGCCCCCACTTCCAGGAGATGCCTGAGGTCACCACCACCCAAAGCCTGTACTCCACACCCGCTCCCATGCTCCAACTCTGTGGCCCAGCCCAGTGAAACTGAGCAGGTAAGCAGGGATAAGGGAGAGCGAACAACAAGGTAAGGGGATGGACTGAGCAGGGGTGGGACCTCAGAGAAGGGGCAGAGCAAAGATGTTCAGTTTTCTGCAATCAGAAAGTTGACTGCCCTACTTTAAACTGTGCTCAATTGCATATTACAAGGATTTCAACTTTCATTTTATACCATGTTAGAAAACATTGCTCAGTAGTTTAATCTCCATTTGAAATTGGGGAATTTCCATTCGGTAACATACACAAAAGTAACTGTCGCTGCAAATATGCCCTAGAGAAAATCCCTCCCTTGTAGTCTGTTTGTAGCATTGAGCATCTAATTTCACTTTTATTCATATTTTCCAGATTCCCAGTAAAGTAGATTTTACCAGTTCTTCCAAGAACAGAGACTTCCAAATGCCAATCACCTTCTGAGAAATAAAACACTAAAAATATTCTAGTTATTTTAAATAACTAGGAATGTCTGCTAATTCCACATGTGGCTCAATTAGAATCTAAGTCTTGATTATCTTGTATGTATCTGTACATAGCAATAAAATCATAAACTCCTCCTCCTTTACTTCCATAACCCCAGCCTCCTTTTAGCTTGAAAAATTTATGATAGTGTAGCTAAAACTCTCTATACCTTTGATCAATGCTCAACAGAACCCTCTACAGAATTTTTAAACTTTATAGAAGTAGGAAGATCAAAAGTGGAAAACACTTGGGGTGTTTCTTAAAAACATCCTGGCACAATATTAAAATATTTTCTCTTGTCCTGAATGTAATACTCTAATAAATCCTCAGACACTTATCTTTCTAAAACTGTACATGAAAAATGTGTCCCCAATCTATGTTACGATTAACCGGACTCCTTAAATTACTTTAATGATCATGTAAGGGCATACTTTATATTCCAGTTCTTTGTCAGTGTATATTATTTTACAGTTTTTAGATCCCAAAATGGATCACCATTGTATATTTGCTAACATGATAGCCAAGGTATAGGTCTCGAACAAAATGACTGAGTGTTCTCTACCTACATAACTGCATTTTGCTAGCAAAGGAGAATCTGCAATAACCAGGAACTGCAGCAGGTAGAGTTGACTTAGACCAGCTCTATATTACCAATTTATGTAAATATAACTATATCACTTGGGGATGTGGTAGATTCATATCCCTGAGCAATGAATGCTGTTATAGTGACCTCATCCTGGATGCAGACAGTGCTTCACCAGTCTTACCATGGAGTCATGGACAGTTCTCAGACCAGTGAAGGGCAACCTGCCAGCCACATATGCGGCCCATCAGGGATAGCCACTGTCTGGCTGCCAAGCAATTTGTTTACAATGAGAATCCACAGGTAAAGCCACTCGCAGCTCCTAGTAGCCATCGTTCACCATTCCCAGCCAATGGGAGCCGCAGGAAGCAACAGCCAGCACATGCCTATGGCCCACATCATTTCCTGCAGCTCCCAGTAGTTGGGAATGGCAAACCATGGCCACTGGGAGCTGCAGGCGGTCAATATAAATAAACTGTCTCATGGCCTACCAGTGCCTTATCCTGGTGGACTGCATGTGGTCCACGTGCTTCAGCTTGCCCACCACTGGTCTAAGGGGACTGTCTATTACTCCATGGTAAGACTGATAAAGAGATCCAGGCGTTCACATTTGTTTATGGCTTGGTGAATCTAATTATAACCACACCACCAGTTTGGGGTGTCTGCACTGTTTTCTGACAGCCTGCCCTGAAGTAGGCACTCACAGTCGTGAATTACTCCAGACTGTGACACACTAACCACCACACAGAACAGAACAACATCTCAGCCAGTCAAACATCAGGAGGCCCATTCTATCATGGTGATAGCCCTTAAAGCCCTCCAAATTCCAAAACTGACTCAAGTGGCAACAGTAGGTTACCAAGGAAGAGAGGACCAGCAGATGTGATAAGTCAATAAAACCATTTTCTAGGGACCATCTGCACCACAATGGTTTTCAGAAAGAACTCTCTTGTTTCCTTATGCACATGGGTCTCTGTGGTTCTTGGAGGACTTCCATCAGATAGAAACAGAAAGATGG